CATATATATATATATATATATATATATATATATTTGTAACTAATATATATATATGATAGTGCTGCTGTGGCTCATGTCGTTGGTGCTGTCTGCAAGATGGATCATCTTTTCAGCGCACAGTGTCGGCTACACGCTGCTCGCTGCGTCCGCCATCTTGACGTTTGGCGTGTTTTCAACCTTCTTGCAAGCCTGGCACCAGGTAAGCCATCCTTTATTTAATTGTTTAACTTTTGAAATTTTGATATATATATATTACATATATTTTCTTTTTTATATTTTGATAGGCGATTTGATGATGTTTGAATTATTAAAATATTTATATGAATACATAAATATATTCTTTTTGTATTTGTTTGTACACCGTCGTATATATTTATTATTACAGACTTTGCTGAGGTGATTCCAACTAGACTCTGTCGTGATGATGTGTACTATGAATAAATAGCTGGTGGCGTTCCTCCAGCGCACTTGCTTTTTGTACCCGCAGCTTCAGGATGGGCTTACCCAGGACTTTCCACTGCTCGATAAAATCATGTCCGAGTACCAAGCCGGATTTGATCCGCATGTCCTTGCCGCCGCTCGGCAGTCGAGTCACAAGCAACTGCTGATTCACCATCCCAAGGGGGCAACCACAGACGCCGTCGTCGCCCTTCCCCCCGACCACGACGACCACGACGAAGACGATCATCACCCGATGGTGTCAGTGCTCCCGTCATTCAAAGCAGGCAAATGCTTTTTCTGCAACAAAAACACCATCGTGCACTACGTCCCTACATGTGGCCTGTACGTCGTACGAAATATATATTTTTATTGTTTTTCTGATTGAAAAATATATATATCCATGGATATCTTGATATTTATTTTGCCGTGGGATTTAGGTGGGGCAAATGGATGCATTGGCGAATGGACGCCAACCATGTCGTGGCAGCACAACGAGGAAGCAGCAGCAGCGATAAAGGCGGCGGGTTGAAACCTACTGTGAGCATGTGCACGTCGTACTGCGACCTTCAGTCCAAGAATCGACATTTACAGGAACAAGTAATATTATTCTTCTAGCCCTTTGACTCGAATATTTGGACTTTTGTGCTGATTCGCGAAAGAATCTATCGATCGATTCGGTTTACCAATCACACTAATTTAGGTCGAATTAGATGTTGATGGTGGTTTCGTGCAATCTGATTGGCTCGGTCCTTTTGCCGATTCTTCAATACATTTGGTTGTGTTTTCGATTCATATATTTTCCATGTCGCTTTAATTTAGAATACACACACCAAAAGGCAAAGTGAAGTGTCTGGGATGATATATATATATATATCACTTGTATTCGTATATCATTGTGGACTACGGAATGATATATATATCTGTTGCCACAGGTTCAACATGAAATGATATACATATCACATTGTAGATGCGAACGCTGACGGGGTCTGTGACATCGTTGAAGAACCAAATCAAGTTGGTCAAAGAACATGAAAGCCACAGTCTGGCCGCCACGGTGCAGCTCCAACGCGCGATGCACGAAATCGCAGACAAACACAAGCACGAGGTGGAATGTGTGGCAAAGGCCCATGCGGCCAAGGTGCAAACCGTGCTCAAGGAGTCCAACGCGACGTTGCTGGCATTGACCCAGCAACGAGATCAGCAACGACGGCACGCCCAGCAACTGGAAGCGGCGCTGGACAAGGAAACGCGGCGGCGCATCGATGCCGACGCCGCGCAAGCCCAACTCATGGCGCGCGTAGAGCGGCAGAACACGCGATTGGCGCAGCTCGAGGTAGTACGTTCAGACATAAACTGACTAAATCGACACAACCTGATGTTTGTAGGAACAACTGCAAACCGAGCGCCGCAATGCGGCTACTACTAGTAGTAGTAGTACAAGGACTAGTAGTAGTGATAGTAGTACTACTATGGACAACGCCAGCCTCGAGATGTCACGACACGTGCCGAAACTGACGGTGGAGCACTCGCGGCGTCGCATGCCATATGCGCGTGTGTTGGAGATCGAAGGGCTGCGTGAATCCGTGGGCAAATCGTCGTCCATCTGATTCTGATATATATATCACACCCTGCGGACTGATTCCGTCTGATTCCCGTCCATCGTCCACGAACGAATGCCAGGACTCGGCTTTCGCAACATACACGCAGCCTACACGCAATATGTAGTACTAATAGTATTATTCATGCATACTACTAGTAGTACTAGACTACTACATACTACTAGTAGTACAGTAGTAAGGCCCACCAGGTAGTACTGTAGTAGTAGAGTATTTATTTAGGCCGAAACGGTACGGCGGTAAAGTCGTCGTTGTAGCGCTTGAACACGGGGTGGTAGTTGAAGTTGTCGATGAGCACTTGCAGTCCGTTGGTGTGTTTGACCTTGGCCTCGTTGTACTCGTCGCGCATGTCGACGGTCGTGGCGCTGTAGCTGTTCTCAAGGGGCTGGATCTTGGACGCGAAGAGGTCGATCCACCGCTGGCACTCGGTCAGGTGCGCCGTCAGGTCCTGCTTGCGGGTGTTGAGTTTGAACAGTTCGTCCTCGTAATCCTTTTTCCCCTTTTGGTCGGCCTTGATCTCGTGGTCGAGGATGTCCATCTTGCCCTTGAGCGAGTCCAGAACCCCCGCGATGCCGCTAGTCGATCGGTTCATGTTGGACGACTCCTTGGGCGTCACCAGAGGCAGCTCGTTCTTGGCTTTGTACACGAGCTTGGCGGGCGGCCGCTTGGTCGTCGTCGTCGTGGGCATCTCAAAGGTTGAATACGTTGGAGCGTTTCACAATCTCGAAACCGCTAACGAAACCGTTTGGTGGCACAAAGACGACTTAACGTAGATACACGACAGCATCACAATTCTAGCTCGTGAAACACGCCGGAGTAAATTCGCGTGGTAGAATGTAGTACCAAATATAACCACAAAGCCAGGTGTGTTTCTGCATCCCCTAAGCCCGTCAGTCAGCATACCACCACATCCTCTAGAATCCTGTTGCCAGTCGCACACTGCTGTTGCAGCGTACACACCATATAACTAACACTCGTTCACTACCTACTAGTACATCTCTACGACGAGCTACTGTAACAAATGTACCAAGAGTTTATCGATACACTGACATGACGTTGCCTTATTAGAGCGCGTACAACAACTGGGTAAACGCTTGGAAGAGCGAGGTCGAGCTGAAGCACCCTTGCTTGTCCGCGTCGACCTTTGACACGAGAAAGTTGAGCTCCGTCTGCGTCAGATCCAGCGCGAGGCGGGTGCAAATGTGCTTCAGATCCACATTCCGACACAGCGCATCAAACGTGCCTGTGGAAGCCACGGCGACAGTATCCCGCGACAGCCCCTTGAACGCATGCCGGACGATGATGGCCCCCGTGGTGTTCCACTGCATCACACTCACGTCTTTGAGGGTGCTGAACTGCAGCAACTTGGCTCGGATTGACACTTCGCATGTGGCGGGACTGAGCGCATAATTCTGTCGACGCGATGACGACGGTCTGCGTTAGAACGTCTGTTAGTTCGTCGTATGTCATGTCTATATCTACCCAGCCAAATCGTCGTCGTCGTCCGGGCCACGTTCCATGCGCTGGGCCATCGTCAGCACTCGAATCAGCTCGACAAAACCTAGACAAAGTGATATATATATATCACTCTCTGAAAAAGAGTATCTATCACGTTCGGATGGTCGTACTCAACTGGTCCAAATTGGGCGGGACGATCTCCCGCAACAACGTTTTGGCTTCGTCGGGGGTTTTCAAGGGAATGTTCATGCGCGCACACGTTAAAATGTCTGCGATTTCGTCCACCGTGAGCAGCACAAGGCCATGGGGAGTTTGGCGGTACGGCATCATATCAAAGCACATCTTCAAATCGCTGCGTCGCTCGAGAATGTTTTGAATCAGCAGCACACGCCGCGCGTGCCGCTGTCGCACAACGCGCTCGAGCTTCTCCGGTTCTGACAGCACGTGATGGAGCGACGCATTCGAAAGCAGGTTGGCGGTCAAGTCGCCAGGACCTGGCTCTTGGTCGTAGTCGTAGCCCAGCTTTAGACTGGATCGCCGGGCAGGATAGTCGTCCTGAGCTGGCTGCTTTAGAGTTTCTACATACGTATAGTGTCAAGTCGATTCGAAAGTGCTCAAATGAGCAGAATAATCAAATCGGCATTCAATCGATTGGCCAATCAAAACCCATATCACGAATCAAGTAGCCAATCAAATCCACCCTTCGACAAATTCAACATCGAATTAGTGTGTTACTTAAACTAGTGTGATATACTGGACGAATTTTATATACAAAAGTCTGTACAAAGAATCGATCGATAGATTTGGCAAAGAATCAGCACAAAAGTAAGCCAAATTTTGGGTAAAAGGACAATATGATTATTGACAGTGAAGAGGATATTATTGTTCGAGTCGAGGATGCACATATTCTTTGCTTATAAAAGCATCAAACGATATCGCACCGGAGAGTGTGGTCGCCGGCTCGATCGACGCGACGGCCTGCTGGTCCAACAGCACAGCCGTATTGGACAAATGGTGGCGGTTAGTCTTCTTGGCTGTCGACTGGTTGTTGGCGCCTGGCAGCTGAAGCACCGCCGCGACCGAGTCTGCGATCGTATGGTACAATACCACCCCATCTTTCCGAGACGAGAGTGTAGCGATGACGCTGGTGGCGTCAGCATGCGACAGAATCAGTCCCCCTTGTCGCAACGCCCATATGAAATCCCCTCTAGATATGCACCCAGTCTTGGCTGGGTCCACGGACCGACACGCGGCAAGGACGTTGGGGAGCTAACAGTGTCACATAATCGTAAAACACAAGACCAAGATGGTTGGGGGGTAAGCTAGCAGGTTTATGATAAGATACCTCCCCCCCATACCTTGTCTTGCAACGCGTCAAAGAACTTCTTCTCGTCCACACGTAGCGAACTCCGATATTGCACTTTAGGCGATGGGGGCGAGGCCGTTGGTTGGGAAGCCCCCGCCTCGTTGGTTGGTTGGTATTTTTGCAAGTGGATGTGCAGGTCGTGGGCTCCGATATATCCCCGGCCTGCAGGGTCGAGTTGCCAGAACAAGGCTTCAACTTCGGCATGCCTAGGCAACAATGCCATCAATCTGTTTTGAATGCACGGCGACGACGAATTCATATATAACGTTATTGGGATTTCGCTCAAATAAGTATAAACGAATCGATTTGTTTCAGGGAAAAGATATCACTTGTTGTGGGCTGAATACAGGTATACTTATATTGTTCATTCGATTCGAAATTGGAGTGGGGTGCTCAATCGAATGAGCAGCACCAAATCGGCAGAGAATCGATATACGACCAATCAAAACACAACACATGAATTATCAACTAGCCAATCAACTCCACTTTTCGAATAATTCAACATCGAAATAGTGTGTGATTGAAATTAGTGTTACACTGGACGACCTTACATGCAAAAGTCCAAACAAAGGATCGATCGATAGATTTGGCAAAGAATCAGCACAAAAGTCAGCCACATTTTGGGTAAAAGGACATTACCTCGAAACCAGGTTGAGCTGGGCCAACGACTGCCGAAACTGACCGCGGGTGACCTTGCCAAAGCGATCTCCTGGGAATATGCTCTTGAGGGTCGCGCAATGAGTGTACCCCATATCTTGGCACGTCTTCATTTTCATGAAAATGCGATCTTCCAACGACGTTGGGTACGTTTGGACAAGGGACGATGCTGGACTGGTCGACGTGTTGTACACATCGGAAAGCGTCGGGTGCTTTTTCTTCATTTCATCGGTGGATTTGCCCCGACATGTCTGCGCTTCAGCATTCCTAAAGCACAGTCGTGTGTATGGCGGCCCATATACAGTACGTAGTATTAACAAAGGGTCAAGGCCTTCGTACCGCTGTTCCGTGGATTTGCCAGCTGCGTATACGGTGGAGTCGTGAGTGTCGACCATCTTTTTGCCGCGCCGGGGGGGCGACGGGGGCCCCGTGCATCCAACAAGGCCCGTGCTATTGGCTAGAAACGCAGCTTTGTCGTTCAGAGCAGCCAAAAAGTCTGCCAAGTTGATGTGGCCGTCCACGTCTCTGACGAAATATACGACCAGAACCGTCAAGATGTTCCGAATGAAGCAATGGATCGTACTGGAATTCTTGCATGCGCATGCGAAGTCCGGTAAAGTCGCCGTTGGACAACGTAATGCCACAATGGCCAAGAAGGTCTCGAAAGTGATCGGGGGACATGGAGCTCTTGCCTTGCTTTTGGCAATGGGTCAAGTACTTGCGAAGCACGTCTCCGTGTTGTAACATCATTTCCCACAGCTACACAATCAACCACACACATAGTAGGTATAATATGCAACGACGATATGAGGACTCGAATAACCTTTTGGTTTTGAAACAGCGTCGTCATCTTGACGCCAAGCATGGCCAAGAAGCCAGCGTAGTAAATCCCATCGGACGACTCGTGGCGGATGCTCGATGGCAGCTGGGCATATAACCGTTCATACTCTTGCGTGTTGAGGTACACGCCCAAGTGCGTCATGGCCAGTTCAAACTCTTCTTTCGAGAGGTACCCCGTGCATCCCACGTCCATCTACACATTGCAGCAATATCCTTCGTCACGTCGCCGTCGCAGTGGTAGCGGGGTTTGGTTACGTTGAGAAACACAGCGTTCAGTTTGTCGTAGTGTTTCGTGGCTAGCTCGAGGCCCCGACGAATGTTGGCATTGTTGTCGAGTGTCGACGACAATCCATCCCCGCTTTGGGCTACCGGCTCTGCAGAAGATGGACGTGAAAGGTACTGCTGGTCCTTTATGCGCTCGGCCACTTGACACCAGTGACCCATGATCTGACAGAACTGGTCGATGTCTAGAGGTGTGTGGGCGGTTACTATAGGTGTAGAAGCGTTTAGCTGCACCTAGTTTCTTGCCAGACGTGGGGCAAAACACGCCAAAGAGTTCCTTGGACTGGGTGTGGGAGATGCCATGACCAAATAACCGCTTGAGCGCCGGGTGGAATTCCCTAAAGTCGAGTTTATTGTCGCCATTGAGGCTGAACCGACGCAGCGTATCTTCAGGCTTGAGATGGTCCCGTTGCTTCCCGTACAGCGCAATCTGGTGGGAAAAGCGATCCACGAGGTCCGTGTTGCTGACGAGTGCTCGAATGACGTTGACGTCTAGCGTAGAATGCAGTCGCAACGAGTCGACCTACTTGGTTGTACATACCAGTGGGGTTCATCGTATCCATTTTGGACGGCGCGGCAATCTGCGCGCTGCCAAAGAGATGCTCCAAGTCATCTGTCACTGCCACGGGCTGCTGGGTCATGCGCAACGAAGGTGTCTGCTCTCGTTGCACAGCTCGCATGGAAGATGTTCTAACGTTATGTGGATCTACCTTCGGCGAAGGGACACCATGTGTTTCAACAACACTATTTACGAATTTTGAAATAGTGTACCGGTACAGTATCCTGATTCCAGGGAACCTCCATGGATTAGTACCCGTATACTTCGAAGTATACTACGTAGTACTCGGAGTAATAAGTAGAAGGACCCACTGTATTACTCAGAGTAGTACTACGGTACAGTACGTACTACTGTACGTAGTACTAGTAATAAGTAGAAGTACCCACTGTATTACACAGAGTAGTACTCCGGTACAGTACACGATTCATGATTGAACAATAGTTTTCCGAGCAATTTCATCAAATATACTACTACCTCCGTCCGAAAATGTTTGCTACAAACTCAATTATTGAAGTTCGACAAAGTTTGCTACAAGTGCACAGTACTTGAAAACTGTAAAACGACAAACATCCACATACAATATAAAGGACGTTTATTTACAAAGTACCAAAGATCTCGTCGAGGTCAATTTCTACGTCGTCGGGTCATCGTCGTCATCGAAATAGTCGTCCGCATCGGGATTGCTTCGAACCACAAGCAGCTCGAGTTGGGA